ACATTTACATAGAGCTTTCAAGAAAACAAATGCATCTACAAACATTAGGCACGTTATTGATACAGTTTATCAGGACTACTCGTTGATATTTTGTTGAAAACATGTGTAATATTGACTCGAATCAATAGATCTTGATACAAATATTTTCAACAGCACTGCATGAGGAATCCAACCAAATATTTTTGGAATACATTAAATTGGTTAATTACACCAATTCATGTAAACAAACGCCTCTTATAGACAGGGTGAGTCCGAATTGTAATTCTTAAAAATCACAAACTGACCGACAAACAGAATTCTAGGCATTTTAGACACATACTTATATGGCATTTTATGTTTGACTTAGCCCTAGGAATAAGTCCAGAAAATATATCCAGACAATTTGGAAACACTGTATAATAATTTTTTTTAGGAACAGCTGACATCAAGATTAACTTATTTCCTCGTCTGTTTTTTTGTAAAGAGAGTTGTGTGGTTTAGTAACGATTTTATAACATCCCACCAACTTTAGTAGTGTATGAACAAAATGAAACCATGCATGAACAAAAAATTACTCGTCGTTAATTATTTTATCCTAAGTTAAAAGAGTAATATGTAACATTTACTTTTAAACCATTAAATCATTAAGTAGACGTGAGCGTAATCTACCGTTACCGACAGGAAGTACACATGAGCAGGATTCCGATTTTGCAATGGGATGCACGTTATGGTTAGTAATACGTGCAATTAAGATAAGTGAATTGGAAATATACTCCGGGAAAGTCAAAGCAGACCTAATTAAATAGTCAAACACAACTTGACTAGTCTACTATGAATGATTAACTTCCATTTGTAGACTATTTTACATTAAATGATTCCATATTTCAAAACTTTATTCATGAAACATCTCAAAATCATTAGGTAGTATAATTACGGTATCATAGATATAGGTGCATAATTAGTTAGTTTATACACTCAACAGTACACAACTATGAATTATAACAATTTATATTTCCCCGGAGTTTTCAAGCTACTGGTATTCCTCAACTTTAATCAGCTGTTTAAACCTCACATAAACATAAATCTAATTACATGTATGAAAGTGAAGCCCTTTCTCCGCCGATTTAAAGCCAATGACCTTTGGCATTGACGGTGTTCCATAAATATACACTCAAGCTAGTCTGCCAAGTGTGCCATAGACTTTGAACCGGTAGTTGGTAGTTGTGTTTTGTTTGGATGGTTGGCAACACCGATTATGAAGATAATATGAATATTTGGGTTGGTAAGTGTTTGGACTTTGAGCGTGTGCGTGCAATTTTCAAGATTACTAACTTTTTGCAGGTTATTGGCTAATTAAATAAACGACTTTGTTGTACAAGTAGCAGCTGATTAGCATGCACAAGTCCACATGATGAAACGTGTTAAAAGTTTGTAAATTATTAAAACATTGGGTGATAAAAAGTGTCATAACTTTGTTGTTTTCCACAGTTTTTTTTTATTAAGGTAAATAAATAAAGATACGTCTTATAACACTTAAAACATATATTTACGCTTATACTGTTACTCACAAGATGGTAAATATACAAAAGATGGTAATTGGTGATCGATTTCGACCAATTCGACCAAAAGGTGCATAACATTCGCCTATTGGGTCTGATGATGATTGAAGTGACCAATCGAAATCGATCACCACTTACCATCTTTTGTATATTTACCGTCTTGTGAGTAACAGTATAAGCGTAAATATATGTTTTAAGTGTTATAAGACGTATCTTTATTTACTTTCCGTAAATTTAATAACACGTACAATGCTGATCAAGAAGTTATTTATTAAGGTGTCATTAGATTTTTCTTTAAAAGCAAACAGTTTTATTATTCATTGTGTTTTTCGATCAAATATTTAGTTTTCGAGTTATTAATGATTAAAATTTGAAAATACTCGCCATTTTGTTGAAAATACAAAAAAACTTTTGGAAGTTCGTTGAAACGTAATTTTACATGTATGTACCAAAAAGGGTTTTTAGCCGGTAGTTCGCGACTACCGAGGGAATATTGAGACTATCGATGTGCATACACGCATTTTCAATTCCTCCCCACAAAAAAATAATATCTTATAGATATAGTCTAATTATTAGTTAGATGTTGTATTTTTAGTCCATCGCCGGATTCCAAACCGAAAAAGTCACATTGTAAAGCACAAAAAATAAAATTTACATAGATTCACTGGATCGTGACGTTTCTCTAATATTTTGCGTGTATAAATTTTAATATATTGTAAAATATGATCAAAACGTTAGTCAACGAAAACACATGTTTATATCATTGGGATGCAAATTAAGGGTTTTCTGGTTAAACTATATTTTTGGTTTCGTAAATTCTGACTTTTTCAAATACTTTAAGAAAATACAAACATCTAATTGTAAATTATTACAAATACGTCATTATCATTGCATATTTGTACTAGTTTCACCAATGTGAACTATGAAATGTTGGTTGACAGCTGCAGCAGTATGGTTAATTATGGCAGACTAACCATTTAGGTAATTACAATGTAACAACTTTTAGTTCGTTTTTGTAAAGAGTGGTATAACGTTACTTTTTGTGTTAGTTTGATGTTTAACTACCAGTGGGAAGATCGGAAAGGACTTGTGTTTTTTCAGACACTTTGACCGCGTTTACAAGACCTCAGGACGTTTTAGACCCTTGGCTCTGATTACGTACTACATAAATTGGTATGTTATCTTGGAATGGTTTTCTAGTTGTAACATTTAATTTGAATCAAACAAATTTATCGAATTTTATATTTTAAAAGTATGTAGATTTTGTGTACTCCAGTTTATTACCATCGCTTTTTTGAGTGAACGAACTTATTTTTTCTACAGTTACCTGACAAAGTGGGCTTCCTTGCACTGATTATAGTACAGAAAGCTGCTAATTGCTGCATTTACTTACTTATGGCCATTATGACGCACTATTTTACTTTTGCCGCAATATTTTTTGCCACACACCAGTATATCAACCAAACAACACAAAACAGCGTTCTTTTATTATGCACGTAATTCGTATGAGTTTGGACATTGGTTGGCAACACAAATACTACGACTACGATCAGCTGGTGCAGCGTTTCCCGTTTCGTTCAACGCTTGGACTTAACCCAATCTAAAAACGTGCTGTACAATGTTTGAAAGACTAATTATTTATATGCTTTGTAGTAACTGTAGGAAAATTATAATGTGTAACGCGAGTGCAAACTATGCTGCACTCGAGAAACTTTCCACACTTGTCTACGGCTCGTTCGTAAACATTTATCTTATGTGCAGCAAAGTGTCACTTCACCCACTAGTTACACAAACAACTATAGTGCATTAACTACAATTATTTAAACTGTCATTTTGCTACATTATAACGAAAGTTACTTGCATGAATTTATTAATACACACCTTTAAAATACGAAGGATTAATTTTAATCGGTTTTAGCAAACGATTTGTAAGTAAAGTTATCTAATTTACTTTACAAACAATATCAACTTATTTTCCAAATGAAAATGTGCAATCACTTTCATGCAATCACTCAAGGGCGATCATTTAAAAATTTCGTAAGATTATCCTAAAAAAAGTGTCCCATAACTTGCCCCAGCTGTTCCTCATCATTGGGCTAAGGGAGGCTAATGAAACAGCTGATATTAGGCAGTAAAATAAGGTGCACAGATCAACTTTACATTCATCCTTCATTCTACACTCATCCTTCAATTAAATTTAGGTTAAATTACGCACCTAGGTTGCGTTCCCATCTCAATAAATGAATGAATGGATGATTGAGACGAATATTCGAATGTGTCAAACACGGAAATATGAAGTGAGTGAAGCTTTCAATTTTTTTTTTTTTTTAGAAATCTTTATTGTTTTTTCCATACACAACACAAAACAAATTTGTCTACACAATATCAGCTGATCTTCGAAATGAAAACGTTATCGTTTTTCTTTCAATATCTGTAACTAAAAGTTTTTTTTCTGAATTCCTTTGCATTATCACACCAAGACATTTTAACAATAAACTGTTTAAGATATTTAAGATTTGAATTCAGCCTTCCAAAAAACACCTCAAATCAATCAAATACCCAAAACATTCTTTCTAAAAGTAGATACTCTCTGGCACTATTTTATTTTTGTTGCGATGTTTCCAGACCTGATTTGACATATACAGGGTGATTAATATAAGTGTGCCAGCCGTTTTTTTCGAAAACTATAAGAGATATCAAAAAAAGTTAAATGGTAAGTGCCTTGGATTTTTTATTAAAAAAATTATAGTCAAGTCAAAAAAATTGATTTAGCCGCCATTTTTCCAATATGGCCGCCAACTTTGATTTTTCTTATGGAACACCCTGTATTTTATGATATTTTATGTTTTGAAATTTCTGCATGAGAAAGAGTTTCGATAAAGGCCTAAGCAAGCATGCCAGCTGTTTTGTTCGAAAACCATTCAAAATTTCACAACTTAAACCATTATTATTTTTGAAACGGTTAGGTTTATGAAAAAAATCACAAGAATAAAATCGTCTTAAAATTACTTTTTCTACCAGAATACATCATAAAATACAGGGTGTTTCATAAGAAAAATCAAAGTTGGCGGCCATATTGGAAAAATGGCGGCTAAATAATTTTTTTTGACTTCACTATAATTTTTTAAATATAAAATCCGAGGCACTTACTATTTAACTTTTTTTGATATCTCTTATAGTTTTCGAATAAAACGGCTGGCACACTTATATCAATCACCCTGTATAGGCTATGCGGCACGCAAACAACAAACAAAACAAAACTTGGACCGTAGGGTGACAACAGGTAAATATTTTAATTTGACGACAATTTAGTTTGCAGTGTAATCAGATGTTTCACATAGAAAGACTTCTTGCGAGGAAGCTGTTGGTAGCATAGAGTACACAGAACGTCTACAGCCCCCCCCCCCCCCCAAAGTATATGTCCGCTGGTCTTCACTTCTCTGACCACTGGTCTGTCCCCAGGTCCGTGGAGGCTCGGAAGCCCAGCTGTACCCAGTCTGACCGGGTGCTCCTCGACAGTCCCGCCATGTGTTGTGGGCTCAGCCTTGCCACCTTGAGACAACTGTATGCCACCGTCTCAGGTAAATATACTCTTATACCTCATAGCATATCGTATTACCAACCTGTAGGGCTTTTTCAGGGGTGGTCAACCGGTGGCAAGGGGTGAGGTCTCTCCGTTGCAAAGAATGTTACGTAAAATACTTGTGCATTACATATAAGTGCGCATTATAAACTTAATATAGGCCTAATTGAAGTGCGATGCTTTAGAGGCTTATACAACGCTGATATATACTTACCAGTGCGCAGTTCGAGGTGAAGATGAGCGAAGAATAAGTGTGAAATAGGGTGAGATTGTTCTTATTGTTCTTGGTTGATTGTTGTTAGCTGTTATTGTTAGCTGATTGTTCTTAGATCCAAACCTGAACCTAAAGGAACGAATCAGAGATCAAATCCCTTTTCCCTAATCACTAGACCACGCCCTATAACATTAAGCATAATTAAGTAGTGACAATTACATTTTGCATTGGACATACAGTATTTCCAATTAATTGTTGGCTATCTAACTTCCGGTACTCGTATTTAAACGAAATGTGAGTAAAACGCACGTTGGTTTTTTCGTTGGGTAACCTAACCAAACTTACCAAAATCATAAGTACCGTACCGTGAGACAACTTTTAGTGACAAAAAAACTGATACCGTATGTTCCTATGGTATTAAAGTATGTCTGTTTCCTTAGGATCGGATGTAAATTTCAAATGTGCATCATGTACAGTGTTACTAGTCGAAAAACCATTGCTTATGCAATCAGGGGTTTTTCAACGAGTTTTTTCTGTTATTTGGCTGTGTGGACTGTTTCTTTATATCAATAGTAAATGAGTGTAGAACGGATGGAGTTATGAACTATGGCGATAGGCACATGCCAGTAAGGGGTCGTTGTACACCTTTTAACATCACTTCTGGTTTTGTTCAGGCTCCTGTTCAGTTATTTAAGTTCTTGTTATCCATATGTTTATCATACATATAATTTTTTACATTGGTAGTTTACGTTTAGTATAGCTATCAATTTCCTTCCATTAATGGTTTTAGTATAGCTTTTTATCAGGCAAAGATGCTGTTTTGGGTATGTATTCTTGAACTATTCCTTAAGGTTAGTACTTACATTAGTCGTGTTTAAGCAATTTCTCTGGCCTAGTAGTTGGAAGCACGTCGATTAACATCGTAACAACTGAATTCGAGTGGAAACAAGGCTTAAGTCATTTACATAAATGCGTTGAACAGAGTTTGAAAACGGAAGTTAAACTAGCAACCATGAAAAACATCACAATATTTTACTTGAATTCACGAAAACATCACCAATTGTAACGATAATCCCATCGATCCCATTGATGTAAACAAAATTGTATTATGGCCATCTGTTTTATCGTAAACAAATGTAAAATTGTAAAGTTCAGATGATTGACAGCAGAATTCAGCAAAAACACTGAAATTTTAAAAGCCTATATGACGAAGGGCGGGATATCATAAAAAATGCACATCTAGAGGATAAGAGCTTTAAATTGATACCCAATATGCCTATAAAAATAATTATTTAGGGGTCAATTTGCTGAATAAAAAAACCCAACAAATTCTTTTAATAATATAGATGTAAAGATTTTAGTTTTATGATGCAAAGGAACCTTACCATTGTATGTTTTTGACCTTTAATGGGGTGTCCCAATTATTTTCTTTACAATGTATTAAATGTAATCGTAAAAATAAAAACAAAATGTCTGGACCAATATTTTTGTTATATTCACTGAAAAGTATAGGCCATATACCATATTTTCTTATGTACATCTATACTATTATAAAAAAGAGGTGGTGTCTGTGTGTATGGGAAAAGTAAACGCGAAAACTACTGGTCGGATCGGGCTGAAATTCGGCATGATGATAGCTCATATTCCCGATTAACATATAGGCATATTTTTATCCCAAAAATCCTTCCGGGCTCCGCCCCAGTGGCTCTGGAGCAAAGGTTCCCATGTTAACCTTATGAGAAATGGAATTAATGAATCTTAAATTAAACAAGTTGGTTCTGTTCTATGATTTTCAATAGCATTAAAGTTACAAGGATTACCAACAGGGTGCAGCACTAGCATTATTTCTTTTACATTTATGACAACAGCTAATTTGCAACCAAAAGGTGAGTGAGCGTAGCGAACGAACTTCAACCTGGAGGCGAGTGAGCGTAGCGAACGAGCTAACCTGAAGACAAGTGAGCGTAGCGAACGAGCTAACCTGAAGGAAAGTGAGCGCAGCGAACGAGCTCCAACCTAAAGGTGAGTGAGCGTAGCGAACGTACTTCAAAAAGAACCGAAATTTCTTAAACCATGTCCTCACTCATAACTGCTATAAGCATTTGATACTTATACGCCAACCCCGTACGAAGGACGGGTACTCTGCTAGTAGATAATAAGAAAATCTGCAGATTCATATAGTTTTGGATAGTTTTTTTTATATTTTATTTTAATGTGTTAGGAGACCAGACACTGTACTATGATACCAAAAGAGTGTCGCAGAAACATACAATATTCATCCCAAAACTGGGAAATGTTTGAGAGAAGCTCTATAATATCTTATATTTTACAATTTACACAATGCACGTTTTTTCTCAATAAATTATACAGCAGCCCATTTAATAAAACGTTTATTGGTGTATTAGCTTCAAACCAACAAAAATAATCATGTTAAAGCTTAGAAACTGATTCAGGGATAAATGGGATTTTATGTTTCAACATGTGGGATATTTTATTATAAGTGGTGGTAACACTGGTGAAGAGTGACTACCGCATGTTAAAGGCACTGGAGAGGCGTGAAGCGTAATCAGACGAGCCTCTTTGTGGGATAAACTTATTGTTGAGTACCAAATAAACACTTGGAGACACTTGATTACACCTAAAAATAAAATGATATTGAATTGGTGTGTTACCTACTTGTATGCCTTTATACAAATGGTATGCTGTAATTCTAAATTTGGGTCGACTGGTCTAAGAAGCCGGAATACGAGTCTAGAATTGAGTTTTTTTACATTTAGGACATTGATTATGGATGCACTAGGTAGTACTCATTTTATATTCATGTACTGTAGTTAGTTATAACATAGACAAAAAGAATTAAACATAGACCGTCAGCCGTGCTACGGTTACCATATGTTCTGGCGCACACCGCTGAGAGCGCCATGTAGTTACGGCGTACGCGCCATTTACTTATTATTACTATTTACTTCCACCATACGCGCTACGTATATACACGGCGCTCCAAGCTGTGTTCGCCAGAACCTATGGTATCCATGGTAACCGCAGCACGGCTGATAGTCTACAATTAATTCTTTTTGTCTATGGTTATTCATAGTCTCCCATAATACAAGTCCGCAGGGGTACAAAGGTGGCAAAGCCGCATTCTCGGTCTATTGTAACAGCTGTTGTACTAATTCATAACGGAGCTTCTGCGCAATGTTTGTTTACACGTTTGTTATTACCGTACTGTTATTACTATGGCAATAGGCCGGTGCGACGTTGCCACACACCAACGCCGCGGACTTGTATTAGAGGTTGTCATGAGTTGTAGCATTGAGATGTAGTAAAGTTGGCTTCCCATCCTATATGGAGCAGTTGTGACCAACTTTTTATTCAATAGGACATTTTTTAATAAAACACACACAGAGTCTGATAACGGTACAGCTATGAATTATCAATCATTAAGATGGGTACGCCTCCTAGTGCGTACTTTAACCCAAACATGAGCTAAGGATGAGTGTATAGTAGAGTGTGATGATATGTGTTTGTTACTGACTAAGATCAGCTGTTTCATTAGCCAGGATGTATAAATCCCAAAGTACTCATGAACTTTTGAGAAAACTACAAGTCACACCCCCAAAAACCTTATGACGAGAAACCTTGCGCAAAACTATCCATTATTTCATAAATTGCCCTTTATGGTCGTAATTCCTTTCTAAAGGGAACTTTCCATTATGCTTAATGTTAAAAATACCTCAGCTGTTCTTATTTGTTTGTTATTCTTTCAATTTATTACCTTATTAAAATCAGGTGTGATTATTGGTTTGTATTACTGTATTCTGTTTTGTTTATTTCGGCTTAACTTAACCATATCAATAGTTTTATTAATACTTATGAATTCAAACGGGGTGAAGACCGTGGGTAACAGCATGTAACAGCTAGTTTCTTTAAAGCCCAATGATCAGGGACAGCTGGATCCAGTTTCGAACCATCAAAAAGATACTTATTTTTCAGAGGATCGATCTCACAACCTTTTTTTATTGTTATGCGAGCACTATAAGAAATCAGCTGCCCCTATAGTATGTTGCATTAATAGTACCGAAAGTGGCATTTTCCGGATTTTCCTGCGCACGCTCAATTTTTATTTGTGAGGCAAACCTGATCGCAGAGACATCAAATTTCACATAGGTGGCAAAAATTGGATCAAGTGGAAAATCACTTTTGGTACAAGTTATGAATGACGATTCTTTACTTCAAGACGCAATAATGCTTATTTCTGTATACAGTGTGTTCAACAATGGAAAGTGCATATTCAAATTTTAAAAATGACAGGTAAGGAAACACAAGTACTCTAGTGGGCAACAGTGAACCTTATTCTAAAAAAATATGAAGTTTCCACCCACCGCATGGTTACCGCGTAAACATGGACCTACAAATAAGAACCTCGTGGCATTATTTAAGTGTTTATCGAGTTGAAATGAACTGTAAAATATTCACAAATATCCTAACTATGCACCGGATGAACTGAAACACCGTAATTGTTTATTTATGTATTTACAAAATATTTTTGAAAATCCGTAAATTAGTATTTTTCATATGTGATTTTAATTTCCAAATAATATTTTTTTCTCCCATCCATTGTGAGCTCTGATATGTTAAGAATACAAAAAGCACACATTCATTGAAAACAAGTTAGTATTATAATGTTGAGAGCTTGTACAATAGAAGCATGTTCAATTCCGAACTATATTTCAATCCATATAATCCGCCATCTTGAATTGAACTGCCAAATTCAATAAATCTCATTAGAAATCCGCAATCTGGACACCCACCTGACCTTTTGACCTCAAAGGTCACGTTGGTTTGTTTGTGTAGGTTATGTACGACCTTGACCTGTTTGACCCTCTTGACCTCTTTAGACCCGCCTCACCACCCTCTACATTAAGTAGTTGCAGGTTCTCGAGATAGCGTTATCATTTACCGGTGGGTTTATGTTATCAGTTATATAAATATTTGAAGATTCACTAGTCAACCTAGCACGTGATACAATGCCGTTGCCTTACCAGTTCTTGACGCAGGGATTCTCGAGGCAGCTTCTAGCTTCTGTGTCAGGTACCTATTTAAATAAAGTTTTCCGTTTATTACGGGGAAATGTGAATATATAACGGGGGTATCATGAAATGGCTCCATTTTATAGCCTAAGAAAGACTAGCTATACCAATTTCTTTAAACTTGACTGTGTGTATGCGATTCGGTGAAGACCAAGATTACAGTATAAGCTGCATATTCCGGAAAACCAAGACTACGATCAAGATATAATTTTTCCTGTTTTCACATAAGTTTTGAGTATTTCTTTGGTTATAAAACCCAACCTAACCCACTTGTAAGTAAAATAATGAAGGTTCAAAATCCAGTTATGCACGATGTTGGACAATATTTTCCCTTAAGTTTTACTTTCAGTATCCAGAAGTCAATTTATTATTGATAAATTGACTATTGGACAAATATCATGGTTTTACTAAACTCATACGTCATCCATCAAATGCCAGATTCCTTCAATCGAAATCGATCACCACTGACCATATTTTATGTAAATTTGCCGTCTTGTGAATTAACAGTATAAGCTTAAATATATGTTTTAAGTGTTATTAGAAGTGTCTTCTATTTACTTTCCGTAAATTTAATTACAACAATGCTGATCCAGAAGTTATTTATTATCTTTAAAACCCTTTGATTCACAGTGGTATTATCAGGATACCACTTGTAAAATAATGTTTACTGCTTTGATGCATACTGGTATTGTGGAAATACCATACCAGGGGCCTAGTCAGTGCTGTAACCTAGCGTATTTTGGAGGAATTAGTAGCTTCTAGATAAATTTAGTATTAAAGTTGAAGTTTCAAAGCGTCGTTGCATGCTACAGGCTACAGGCTGTTATGCAGAGGTTTTGACTGTCTTGTATACCCTTCTATTACATATAACAAAGTAAGATATATGTTTTTATGTTGAATTAGACACTATGTAATTGTTATATTGCGTCAAAAACACTGTTTTTGTTCAAACTGAAAGTTTATTTTGCCAAATATAGGTGGTATACCTACAATACCACTATGCTACTAACACTAGACATATTTTGTTGTTGCCTTACTAAGCTAAAATATAATTTCAAGCATATTTTGTGATAATTTTCGTTATTTTTTCAGGTAAATGAATCATATAAATTTTACTTACTATATTTTAAATATTTATTTATTATTCTCCGATATCCAAAAGACATGACTGAAGACATCTTACTAACAGAAATTCTAAATGACGGTTGCTAAGATGAAATAGGTTTATCAGATAATTGACCAGATGACAGTAACTTAGTCTCTCTTCGGCAAATATACTCATCTTCATTGATGAAAATACATAATTTATTTTTATCATTATAAATCACCTATTGCGTTTGGAATCATAACCCAGGTGAAGCAATTCCGCATCTCCTACACGAATGGCTTACACTCAAAATCGACGAAAGGCAAAGGAAAGGCTAAATTAAATTTGATCAAACATAAATTTAAAATGCCAGTAGAAAAGAGGCTCAAGGAGAACGTTCACATGCCCATAATATCAACATGGACGAGATGCAACTTATGCAGCACAAAAAAGAAAAAGATTCGCTCATACTGGGAATGTAACGAGCGCAAAGTGTGCTTATGCTAGACAGACAAAAAATAGTTTTTATGAGTTTCACAACTGAACTAAGATAAAGATGAATCTTGAATCTTAAAATTGGAGAATACGATGTTGTACAATGATTCTCTGGAAACTTGTTATTTTATAACAGACCTTCAAATGTATTCAGTATTGTCATACAAATGTATTTACGAGTACAGTACCTACTAATATCTTGAGCTAATTCACTATTTTTCACATAGATTAGATAAGTAATCTTTTTATTACAATACATGAACAGGTAAATAATTGTTTCTCATCTGTAACATATTGGTAGGTTTTACGTTTCAAGGAAGGTTTTTAATATTTTATATGCACATTAGACTACGCACTGATACACAGTGGTATATATAGAATACCACCTCGTTTTTTATTAATAAAAATTATAAAAACAAAATTAAATTTTTTAAATTATTTTTCCTGAGCTCTGACACGGTTAAGGTTACCAAAAAACATCAATTCAGTAAAAATTGAAATAAAAAAATTTTACTGTGCATCAAAGGGTTAAAACAACTAAAAAGTGTTTGGCAGTTTTTATAACGATATAAATTAAATACTTGTAAAAAGATAAACAAGAATCCATCTTGTATTCTATTCAAGTGTGGTTATTATGAGCTGTAGCTGCAGTTTTATTACTAATAGGTCTATTTACAAATTAAAATACAGTAGATAGCTGAAATAATAGTTTTTTTGGTACGGAATTGTCGTGTCATCATTATTTTGTTGAAATTACCAAATTATTAAGACATATTATATACCTGCCTGTTAGCCTGTATGTAAAATGATTGTATTTGACGGTTCGAAGTCAGACACTTTTTGGTGGTTCGTCATTGAGCTTTTAATAATGAGTCTAGCTAAGGAAACAGCTGGGCTTTGTGAAAAAGTGACACATTGCATCTGATTTCATTCTGCACTCATCCTTCACTCATACTTGGGATAACGTACGGCCAGTTGCGTTCCTTATTAATTGGTGAAAATGTAATAATGCACATGTATTCTTAAAATAGTTGTATAAGATTACATTTTTTAATCCCCACTTTGTGTTGCAGCATGTCTCATAGTGGTGGCCTGCGGGACGTCCTTCGGCTGGATCGCCCCCACCCTGGTCAACCTGACGTCAGACGACAGCGAGATACCCATGACGTCAGCGGAGGCTTCTTGGATGATCGCCATCATAGAGGTGGGCAACCTCTTCTCACCCATCCCTGCTGGGCTACTGGCTGACAAGTTTGGCCGAAAACCCCTCGCGTTGTCCACCGGGCCCTTCTACATCATCTCCTGGCTGATCATCCTCAACTTCAAGAACCTCGCGGCTCTCTGCGTCGCCAGAATAGTCCAAGGTCTGGCGATCGGCATTGTGTTCACAGTAATACCAATGTACCTTGGGGAAATCGCCTCCCAACACATCCGAGGAGGTATCACCAGTCTTTTCCAGATAGCTTTCTACTTCGGGTTTCTTTACGAGTACTTCATCGGCCCCTTCGTCTCTTTTGATGTCCTCGTCATCATCTCCATGCTCCTACCCATCGTTTTCATCGGCCTGTTCTTCCTCCAGCCGGAGTCCCCTCACTTCTACATCATGAAGGGGAGAGAAGACGAAGCAGAGAACTCTTTGATGTGGCTGAGAGGTACGACGAATGTTGAAGACGTCAAGGAAGAACTTGTGGATATGATTCAAACCGTGCAGAAGGAAATCAGCAATAAAGCGTCTATCGGGGACATCATAGCTACACCGGCTGACAGGAGAGCTCTGATGATCGTCCAGCTGGTCGGGGGTGTTAAGATGATGAGTGGTTTGGCTCCTATAGTTTCATACTCCACAGAGTTGTTCAGAAGAACAGGGTTCACACTGATTCCTCCGTATGTTTTAACAATCATCATGGGACTGGTGCTTTTCATCTCGGGCTTCTTCAGCACCGCTCTAACAGATCTGACTGGTAGAAGGCCTCTTCTTATAATTTCCACGATCGGATGCGCCTTCAGTCTCGGGTGCGTCAGTCTGTTCTTCTACTACTACGACCACAGCGATTACGACCTCTCCGAGTACACTTGGGTGAGTCCGGCCTGCATCATCCTCTACAACCTGTTCCTAGCCTTCGGACTGGACCCAGTCTCTATGACCTATCGCTCGGAGATGTTCCCAGCCAATACTAGAGCAGTAGCCTCTAGTATCAACACCATCGTCTTCACCATCGGAGCCTTCATCACTCTCAAGCTCTACCAAGTGGTGGCTGACAGCATAGGGGTCTACTTCATCTTCATGATCTTCTCGCTCACTTGTTTCGTAGGGTCGATATGGATGTACTTTTACGCGATCGAGACTAAGAACAAATCTCTTTCGCAGATCCAAAAAGAGTTGACCAGAGTTACGCAAACATGCTGATCCGAGTGTTAAGGCTATTGAGCTGTGTTAAAGTGTACAATCTTCTAAGTAAGATTTCATCTCATAAGGTCTGTGATGTTTTACCTGAGAAGTTTCTTGAGTATCTGTATTAAGACTCCTAGGGTATTAGTGATCAACTTTATTTTCCTACAGTTGCCTAAGGAATATGTTATTTTGCATTGTTTGTAACCACGCAAAATATATTATTTTCCGCACTTTTTCACTTAGCACTCTTATAATATTTTCTCTGAATAATTCTTAAATCAGCTTTTTTCACTGTTATTGTCTTTATTGCATGTATTGATATAATTATTTTCTTGGTGAGAAGTAACAAAGTTAAAAACTACCATAAAATGCATTATTATTATTTCATGGTAACTGTAGGAAGGATAAGTTTAATTCTAGCACAAAGTATCTTTGCTTTGAGAATCTATTCCAAGGAATCAACTCCTGCTACAGTTAGATTAAAAGTGAGAGCAATGAGGTAGGTACTTTGGGTAATATTTACAACCATAACTATTTTGTGTTTTATACCAACGTGTTCAAATGGAATATTTGTCTACCTAAATGATATTTTAAATTCAAAGTAGGTTTTTTTAAATTCAGCTACATATTTTTACTATTTATAAAACCATTTGTTCGTATTTTTTCTGGTTGTTCAAAATAGAATGGAGTGTACTTTAAATGTATACGAGAGTAAATGAAGTAAATACTGTAAACGATGTACATTGTTCAAAGAAAGTTACTCTTCAAATGTACCCATTTATTTTGGTATCATAACAAGATATATGTTCTTAAAACCCGTGAGTCAAGAAGATCGATAGAACCTACTCGGTCTACGTATCCCGTATACTATGAATACTTATTCCTACGGTAGGAGTGAGAATGGCCTTTTTAAATGAGTTAGAAAAGGTATAAACGAAAGCTTCTTCAACTAATTGCCGAGTAATTTAAAATGAAAAACACACAACTCCATAATGCCTTATTACATTTAGTTGATTTTAAATTATTCTGTATAAGCAAGATAAATATATGTTATATTTCATGTACATTATTGTAAATACTTTTAGATTTAATACGTTTTATTTAATACGATAGCTAAATAAAATTTGTGCTTTAAAATAAAATATTTGAAAGCTGTAAACACGTATTTTGACTTTTTTGCGATCATAGTTTTGTCAAAAATAAACCCCCTAGTGTTAGTACCAGTAGGTTACAACATATTTCATTTTACAACTGATGCCTAAATTGACGCGAGTTAAAGTTTTAACCATGGAGGGGAAGCCAAAGCCAAGAAAAGAGTGTTGGTAGAAAATAAACTTATGGGCAGTGAAATAAACTGTGTATTTGGGCAAAGACTACTTCATTATTTTGTCGCCAAAATAAAAATGGCATCTGTTTTTTTTTTTACCATTTGAAGAAAGTTAAATGAAGGCTTTAGTACTTTGCCATCTCAATGAAAGATGCATATTAAGAGGTATCTATACATCTCGTTTCATCATTGACTATACACAGAATAGACTTCCCATGAAGTGTAAAAATTTAAAGCAAAATAAATTGTGCAATCTGTTGAGATGGTCTACCAACTAATGACAATATTATGTGTCAAGTGGTAAATCAATCAGCTGTTTTCTATGATACTGCATTGATTTTAATTATTACCAGCTGCTGTATACGCGCTTCGCAACGGGAATATACTATACCACCAAACCCAAAACTTTTTTTATAAGTAGTTCAAATTTATAAACAAAAAGCCACCAAATTTACACAAAACATTGTAACCTACATTGTTGTCGTACTGTCTACATGAAGATGTATCAATAACATTATTTTCATTACTTACGGTTATAGAATCTTTTTTATTGCCATAATCATTGACATAGTTTTAGAATAAATTATCTATTACAAAGTGACAATAAACCTACCACTTAAGTGGTGTAAAACCGTGGTAAAACATTTCATTTTATTTGTTTGTATCAGCTGTCTGAAATTGTGAATTAAGCATTTCGAAGTTCTGTTTGTTTACATTGAAATGTCTACGCAAAGGGTAAATATTGTGAATTATCTCATGTTTCCATGGAGACCAATTATTAATATTTACTTTTGAAAACCTCACCTCAAAAATTTGGACATCCAAGGACGAATTCAGGGAAGTGAATAGGCCTATGACATTCCTAGATAGTTGGACCATCTTTGTGCTCTATTTTGTCTGTATCGGTTTAGTATTTTAGTCTCAATTTTATAATAGTATAGATTTAACCCGATACACTATACCCTCTGGTAAGATGGTCCTAAACATCTATTTTCTTGGCTTCAAATTTTTACATTACATGGGAAGTCTATTCTGTGTATATCGCAAATAGTGGTGTCAACTATTGTAAATATTGGCAGTTTGTTCAAATATATTTACAGATTGTCAAATTAATTCACTTAAAAAAGGCAGATTTGTTGTTTACATTACGATAAAGTTATTAGCCTTGGTTATATTAAACAGGGAGATATTCATTAAAATAATCAATAAGTAAAATTTAGTTTAGCCCCTAAAAACAATGGTGGGTTATCTGAATTTTACAGTAGATTATGTTAAAGGCCCGTATTTTTCTGTATTCTAACCCCGTTTCTTAGCACATCGATGTATACAGCTAGACATCTTTCGTATACATCATCGCATATATACATTTATATGTGACATATATACATATATACGCATATATACATCACGTATACATCATTGGCTAAGCATGGGTTTACAGTTGAGGTTTCTTTTCTTCAAACAAGAATTAGTTAGTTTGTTGAGACTGTGTACGTTTAATTCGACCTTGAACCTTGTCTATGTTATCTAAATACAATCAATTAATTTAACATTCACTTTCGTTATCAATTGCAGAGAACTGCCATAACATATTATATTGCATAATTTTCATCTTCCTATTTACATTAGGTGATGTAATATTGACGAAACTTCTATGGTTACTCAGCCGGATATAACGTAATAATATTATGGAATTAGACAATAGTCTACAACTAGTTTTTTGTGTTGTGCCTGTTAGAAGAAAATATCTGGCTTTACGTATATTATAGTTCAGGTAAGGTTTAGTTTATTATATGGTAAGCAAGTAAAAACATAATTGTTTACATACATTTCTTTCTTCCGTACAACGTGTTTTGCTAATAAATAAGAGTTTCATGTTTTAGTAAACGTTTTATTATGCAATTTGCATAGGGTAACATTTGTTTAATACAACTACCGGTATACGTCAAAGAGGTTATCGATTTTATTAAAAACATTAGTACAAAGTTCTAATACGAATTTACATGTGAAAAACTAGGTAAATTATTGTACAGTAAATAAATACCCATTCATGCATTACACACATCCGATTATTTTTTCAGATATTATTTTTTATTTATGTTATTTAGTAAAGGTTATGCAGCATAATGTTTTACATTTAAGACAAAACTTTCCTTTCGCCTTTTTTCACCAAGTATGTGACATATATGCAACATATTTTAAATATAAGGCAACAGACATTTAACTATTCATCTTTATAAATCAGACAAGATCAGGGTTCGGTTTTAGTTGGTATGCTAACCAGCTAACAGCTAAAATCTCTGAACTGGATGTTATAATTGCAACACAAATACATTTTTAACTGTGTTTAAAATTTGTTTCTACTGTTATTGCTTTAATCGAAAATATAAAGCCAGTTTACACGTCTGTACACTTACAAATGCACGTTTTAATGTGCAATACGTGAGTATAGGTAATAAACAAAAGCATAAAAAGTGTGTACAAAGCCTATTAAATATTTAGCTAGGTATATGTGGATAGTTAGATAGGTGGACCTAAAGATGTGTTTTAGAGAGGAATTTATTTTATTTGCTTTATTGTTCAGAACAAAGTAAGAATTGAGAGTTGTATTAAAAATATCCAATACTTATGGTCCCTTACAAATTTGATTGTTGTATTTGTGAAATTATTGTATTTCCTTTGTTTCAAATTTTGAAACGTTTAGCTGGCCCACGTCATTGTGGACTTACGATAAAACAGATATTTGATGACGATGACAAATTGTTTATAAATACATGGTTACTTTCATCAAAATTTAATACATTGCATGTGAAAAAGTTATACAAAAGCCATATTCACATATAAATCGCAAAGTACCCATTAACTTTTGAGAAAACTACAAGTCACAACCCCATAAACCATATACTTAAAATGATCGTCATAACGAGAAACCTTGCGTAAAACTAACCATTATTTCATAAATTGCCCTTTAAGGTCGTAATTCCTTTCTAAAGGGAACTTTCCATATACTTAATGTTAAAAATACCTCAGCTGTACTTATTTGTTCGTTGTTCTTTCAATTTACAACCTTCTTAAATCAGGTGTGGTTATTCGTTTGTATTACTGTAATCTGTTTTGTTTATTTCAGCTTAACTTAACCAATCAATAGTTGTATAGCCAACTTTTATAATGCGCAGAACAAACAGGTATATTATAGAAACAATTGGCTCTAAAGATTCAGTAACAGGTGTTGTAGTAATTACAGTTAAGTCAATAGTAATTAATTGTTAACATGGCTCAAAAAATATTATCGAACCATTTTAATGCTGTCTGTTCTATTAATACTATTCATTTAGATGTGGGTTTTTATAAGCATCATACATATCTCAACTTATTTCGTCATGATTCAAAATAATCTATATATTTTTTGTGACATTTATTAAATGTCGTGTTCACTTTGACAATAAAGAATAATATTTTAGAGTAAACCTGTCACTCGAAATTGAACATAATACATGGTAATGTAGAAACGTAAAAACAAAGAAATTAATAACTATTCACTAAAACAATAACCTCTTGGTTAATTTAGCCTTTAGTCAATTAAATTTTTTAATTCAATTAATTGAACATTCTCTATTAATATTTATCAACAAATTAAACATTCTCTAACTTTTTAATACTCTAACATTTACCATACTTAGGAAATGTTATCTTTCATCCAATACATAATATTCATGGACAGTTTGCAAAAAAAAAAATGTATGTTAGCAAAAATCTTAAATTTCTGAAACAATAATAAAATCGGTCAACACACTTGATAAGGTTAAAGAAGCTATAAAACATCGAAACGGGTAATTAATAATAGTTCGATAAGACTTGGAACATACTATAAAGATGGTTTTAGTCCTGCTGATTAAAAAGGTTATGACTAAAGGTCAATGTAATATGTCCAGCACGCGTGATGAACTATATTTTTATTGAAGCTAAATTACTCGCTAATTTAGAATGGGGTTACCGATGTATTAATATATTTGGGTTATTTTGGTTATTAAAGGTTAGAAACATCACTTAATCCATCAAAACGATAAGAAATCCCCAAGTTCAAATTACCATTGTATTGGAAAATTTTAATTACTCTAATTAGGGTGGTCATTGCAGTAAAATATACAATTCAATATGATGATGAACACAAATATATTAAAATAGAGATTTAACATAATTTTCCCAA